CACGGCCCGGGGCCGGCGGCGGAGCACGACCCGTTTCCATGAGGGCTCCGGCGTTTTGCGAAACGGGAAAGCTGCGACTGCCCCGCATTCAGCTTCCCGGCCGAGGCGGGGGTGGGACCCAACCCGCCCCACCACCACCCGTCTGCGGCACGGAAGAGCCCACAAGGCATGCACCAAGCACCCTTCCTCGCAGAGGCATTTAAAGTCAAGATAGGCCCCACATAGTTTAAGTTTGTCTCAACCTCTTCCCCTTTAAAAAAAAAAGCCTTTGTTCCCAATTTCAATTCCACTTATTGCCCCACTTTTAGTGGGATTAAACACAGTGTTGAGTCAATATTAACTGAATTACTTTGTTCAGAATTTTGTGTGTGGGTGTGTGTGTGGTTGGCTTTGATCTTCCTTGCTTTCCTTGTTATTCTGGATATTGCACTTGAGAACCAGGAAAGGAAACAGACCCCTAGCTGGGAGTCAGTGTTCAAGCACAGGGAAATGGAATATTTTGTTTTCATTGAACAAGATAAGAGAAACGGCCAGGGCAAACAGCCCCCAGGCTGGTAATCACATTTATTTACCAAAAATGAAAAAACTAAAAAATATACATGGTTTTAAGGAACACAGGTTTTAGTGGGACCGGTCTGAAAAAATGTCATCCACAGAGTTCATTTTATGTCCATGGAGAATCGTTTGATAAGGTCCACCAAAGCAATTTTAGGAAATGTATTAAATCATAATTAGCAGACACAGTTCCTGACAGCTGAGTTTGTGGCAGAATACTTCCTTTAGGTTTTAAAAGTAGATTTTCATTGTTTAAGTTTTAGCTTCAGGTAATTAAAATGTCTTCGGCATTGCTGATCAGCTTCTGGACATATATACCGCAGCAGAAAATAGACTTACGTCTTTAGCCGTGCTTTTGTAAATATACCGGATAGCTGTGAAAAGCATCAATAACATGGGCACAGTAAAGGTATTTCTAGGATAAAAGCATGGTCGTAAGAGAATTCATGCTGTTCACCAGTGAGGCTATGCCGACAAGGGAATTTACTGCATTTTTTCCTAGCATAGTTAGTTTTCAAGAGATTCGTTACAGCTCAGTGTCAGCTCTTTGAATATAAACAAGATTTGACTGTTTAATTCCTCACACTTTGAAAATCAGAGCTGACAGATGTGCCAAACTGACTGCACTTTGACCTCTGTTGCCTTCCAGTATGCTAATTCCGTTTGTATTTTTTTATGTAGATTTTTTGTGAGATTCATACATTGTTCAGTCACTGGAATCACCAGATCTGAGAATTTTAGGTTTGTTGGGTGAGACTTCCTACTCGGAAAGTAGAAAGAAGTATCTTTTTGTTTTGACTCCTTTATTGAAATCTTTAATATACTGAAGTGCAGTATTTCTTGTGCCTGTAGCGCTTAAGAACCTTAATCACAGGCCAGCATCTCCTTGTACTGGAAACTGCTGTACAGGTGTATGACAAAAAATGGCATTCCTTTCTCCACACCCCTTCATTGCCTAATACTTAATAAATACTTAGTAAACTGCCAGTGTACTAGAATATGATCAGAGAGTACAAAAACAACAACAACAAAAGCGCATAACGGGCTATCTTTTTTGATCAGATACTAAGATTTTTTCCTAGGCCTTATACTAGGCCCTCACTTAAGAGTTTTCTTAAGCACAACCCCACATGACAAGACTGTGTTTTGTAAAGTGAGATTCCTAAAAGTTAATTAAGAAATCTACATTTTAATTCCTAAAAACTGGTCTGACTTTTTAAAGCATCTTAATGAAAATCAACCCATGTTGCATTCATTTGATGATTCACTGTTTACTTTCCTGACGTAACCCAAAGGAATTCCAGTCAAGGGCCAAGATCCCATGGTAAAGGTTTGCGTATAAAGCCACAGCAAAAAGCAAGTCTTACTCCAAAGGCACAAGATTCTAAATATAAGATGAGACAACAGATGGATACAGATAGAGATAAGCAGATGGAAGGTAAAGGAAATCAGAATACCAAACCATGAATAAAACATGTTGGTCTCCCATTTTCAGAGAGCTCAAGTTAATCAAAATTGGCAATTAGAAATCTCCAAGGAAACCGTGCTTGACAGGAGATGATTGGTCCTCATTATTTAGGCATAGTTTTGAAATATAACCACCTAAACTGTGCCAGCAAAAGCTCTGCCTAAGTATCCAGCCCAAATTCACATTTGTGCTTGTGAAGCAAACAAATGCATATATAAATCCCTTTATGCTTTCTCTTTGATTTCACAAGAACAATGTTTAAGTGGACAAAAAAGTTTCTTGATGCTACTATTCACCAGCAATGTTTCATTAAAATACACTAAGCAATATGAGTGGGAATCTTGTACACGTCTGAAAAATACTTTCACTTTCTGTTCCTGGAAAAAACGTTTAATGTCCAAAACAAAATAATAAAAAAAAAAAAAGGGAAATCAGAACAAATTTAATTCCACCACTGTAAGCCAAAAAGTATGTTTAATAGGGATTTTGATCATGTTCAACAATGTATTAATTTATTCCGGATGACCATGGGTGTCCAGAGGAAAAGGATTTCCATTATAAAACTAAATTCTGTAACTTTCAGCAAAAAAAACTTATTTGTTTCCCTTCAAATGAGCCCAGTCAAATGGCTCCTGGGAGCAGAACAGAAAGGAATAAAACACGTTCAGCAAGTGAAACCTTCAGCCATTTTGCATTCTCCTTCAAGACAGTTGTATCACTAAAACCACAGTGATTAAGAAAGAATGCACACGCGGCTTGTCTATTAACTTCCACATTTTTAACCTGCAGGCACTGGAGCATGTCAATGCCCGGCTTTGTGAACTGTACCCTGATGATGAAGAACGATTTGATATTGTTCTGATGACTAATAACCATGCCCAAGTGGGAGTGAGACTCATAAACAGCATCAATCACTACGGTAAGTAAAATAAATACTACCTGGTAGAACTGCCTGCTGTTATATAATAAAATGAAGTAATTTTATTTTTCTTGTTCTGACCTTGGCAGAAGCAACTTCTTTGATACTGACACCCATTCCTTAGGGGACGATATTTATTTTTGTGTGTCAGAGTAAGTGAAATTGTGTGAAACAGAATTTGGTCCAAAGCTCTAGATGTAACCTGTCAAGCGTGAATCTTACTTTCCGAGAAAAAAAAGTCCTTAAACTTTTCTTGTTCGGTGTTTATGTCCCCATACATATTCCTTCATAGCAGTTACTCTGCTTAGAGGGATTTTTGTGTGGAATTCTCAGGGAGGAAGGAATGGTCAGACACTGCAGTCAGTCTGTTTACCTTGTTATTGAAACTACAGTGAACCTTTTTTCTTCTTAAGTTGAAGGGCAGTGTTCCTTTTTACAAGTTTGTAGTATCAAGGTGGAGTCACAGCTTGTTGTGCTGTTCTTATTTTAGGTTTAACAATTGAACGTTTCTGCATGACGGGAGGTAAAAGCCCAGTTGGTTATCTGACTGCATATCTTACCAACTTATATCTGTCTGCAGACTCTGAAAAAGTCCAAGAAGCTATAGAAGCAGGTTTGAATTGACTTTCTTTGTTATGTCTTGGCTGAGCTTATTGAAAAATGAATGCAATAATTGTGTCTTTCACAGAAAGTAGGGCTGCTTCATTAAATACAGAAAGTCCAACTCTGCAGGTACAAACTTATCTCTTATACTTTATACTTAACTAATGCAATCAGGTTCTTATTTTTCTATATTCGCCTTCTCTGACCCTTCAGCCTGATGACCATGACAACTTAATCAGCCTATTCCTTTGCACTGCCTTCCTGTCTTCTCTCATGCTGCCACTCTGCAGGAAAGAAACTCCCCTTACACTCCTACTTGTCTCTGGTCAACCTCTTCCTAAGATGTGTTTGTTTGATAGGACTTACAAAAATTAACTTCTGTATTTGAGAATGAGTTAAAAAAATAGCAAATAGTCTGAGTTAACATTTTTCTTGGAACTTCATGCTTTGTCTCATCTGCAGCACATCTTGGGGACTGGTTGGGCGTATTCTTAGATGGAAGCGAAAGGAAGCATGTCTAAGAAAAAGTTATGTCAATGGGACGGCTTCCAGACATTTACCGTTACATTCCAGATATAGCCGTTACAAATCGTCTTTAGGGATGTTTTGTGCCTATTCTATGTAAAGTTCACCAAAAATAAGTTGTTGGAACTGAACTAATGATACTTTTAAGAATGACTCTGCAGGACACACTAAGTGAAGTTTTCTGATATATTTTCAGGCATTGCATCAGCTACCATGTTCACTGCAAACAAAGATGTTTCTTACTCGGATACAGAGCTGAGAGTGGCATTTGATGGGGATGCAGTTCTCTTTTCTGATGAATCAGAACAAATTGTCAAAGAGCAAGGATTAGACAGATTTTTTGAACACGAACAGCTGAATGAGAATAAGCCTCTTGCACAGGTTTGTACGTCCTAAATCAGAGAGTTTTCAAAATATCTTTCCATTTTCATTGCTGATAGTGTGGCTGTCTTTTTTCTGGTTTCCGCTGTATGTATTCCTTCTTCTTTACAGAACTTTCATTTGTAAGTTGAAGTATCAATTTATTGCCCTATTTATTTCCTTTTTCAAGGATAGTCTTTACAATGTGTTTGTTGCAAAAGAGCCCACTGTGGCAGTCCTCTCCGCAGCTCTTCAGATCTTCTGCTTCACTGACAGAACTGCATAGATAAGAAAATGACTTATAGTTTTATTTTAATTATATCACTTCATTATATTACTACAAAGAGGGAAGGCTACTATATTTTTTATCAAGTTGTGTTGGTAATGTTCATTTCAAATACTAGGATGTTCTGGTTATTGAAGTAGGGTAATATCTATGCTTACTCCCAAGTAAAATAATGATTTTTTCTAAAAAATACAAATATTTAACATTAGCTTAAAGCAAAAGACCAATTCTGATATTGTTAACAATATAACATAAATGCCAAAAATATGTATACTAAAATTTTATACCAAAATGGTACAAATCCAGAAGAACACAAGCTTGAATTGTGAAAGTATTGGAAAGCTCTATATATTGGATTTTGACTCCGTATCATTTAGGTTGTTGTTTTTTGTTTTTTTTTTTTTTAATGAGGGTGTAATTCTAACGCTGTCGTTAATCTGGAATGATTTCAGTGAAGTCCAGGTAATTAAGTAGCTCAGAGTTCTTTGCATAGAAAAAAAAAAGAACCCTATGGACTGTAGCAAAAAGAGGTCTGTGTTTTAAAATAACATGTTATTAAATTGGTTAAAGACCATAGTTACAGCTATATATTCCAAGAGATCTTGAAAGCCTTAGACAGAATCAGCTTCCTG